ATTAAAATTTTTCTTGATATCTAATAATAATTGTGATAATAAAAATATTTTAATCTATAAAAAAATTGCTAAAATAGAGTTTTGGTTAACTTTTTCATAAAAATAGTACTCTTTATTTCGTAGAATCGAAAAGAATTCCATTAAAGAATGCCGGCAGCGATAATTGCATGGTTCGTGACCAAGAAGTATATTTTCACAGACGACTGTACCGGAGTTTCGCGGAGAAAGAGATTTCCGGGCTCCTTTCAATGAACGGCCAACATTCTCATGGTGAGAAAATATATTTCACACGACGATGATCATTCTCGCGTTTCTCTTCCTTTCTTACCAAATTTCCAAAAATTTATTTTTTATGTAAATCTAGGAAATTCAATAAACAATGAATTACTTTGAAATCAAAACATTATTCTTCCACATTTAGTCGTTTAATTTTAATTCTAAAAAACGAAATATCTTTCATTAACACATTTTTAGAAATTTCTCGCAATAATTTTCATGCAGAATTTCATGTAAATATGTTAGATATTCTATATATAATTTTGTAAAAATTATAAATGAATTTCTTTAATATTTGAAAATATCTAAAAACAATTTAAAAAACAATTTGTTTATTTTATAAACATAGGCCGGTATGATGTACAGATGGCAAAGGACGACAACCGCCTTGATGATTAATTCGCATCACGCGTATACAAGCGCATAATTGCATACTCTTTGCACCATGGTTGAATACGAAACAGGAAGAAACATTGTTTGCGAACTGTCATCGATATTAATTACAAAATCAACGTCTTTCACAGGAAGAAAAGCCGAGAATACTTATGATTGCATTTAACTTTAAGGATTCGAAAAAACAACTAAGTAAAATATTTTTATAATAATAAATTTCTTATCGATCTTATCTTTTAATCAAAAAATTCTATCGATGAAATAATAATGTTTATTTGTAAATTTTAATAATTAGTATAACTATTAGAGAACAGAATCTACCAAAATGATTTTTACATAATTTTTCATTAATTTTCATTAATTTTCTAGCAGCTTAGCATGTGTCATTAGAGATTAATTAATTTATTTTTTAATTTATTTTCTTTTTTAATTTAAATTTATTTGTTGGCATACAATTTTGATGAAGAAACTATTTTTAAAATCAATGATAGATCATAAATAATCAAAAATCGTTTGACTCTGAATTTGAATTTTAATTAGTTTAAGTTTTTATTAAAATATATTGAGATGAAAAAAACAAGACACATATATCATAATTATTTTAAAAATATAATTAAAAAAAAAATTAATTGAATAAGTAATTAAAAAAATATTTTTTATTTTTAAATACTTTCTTTCTTTCAAACAAAATACAATTAATAAAAATTCTTTATATTATAACAAAAATGATATGCACAAGAAATAGAATGGTTTTAAACACTTGTTGCTGATTGACATTTTTGGAACAAATACATGTTTAAGTAATTATAATGATTAAATAAAAAAAAAAAATCCAATATCTCGGTTAAAATTTCATGTGTTCATTCATAAGAGGAAATAATGTCAGAAGTTTTTTAATAATCGTCCTATCATCATATTCAATTTGAATATTCATGACAATAATATAAAAAATTGTTTAAAAAAAAAATTAATATTTAATGTATAAAATCTAATTATTCTTAACATGTATAAATTTTCAAGATCTATAAAAATTGTAAATTTATGAAAAAATTATTAATTTCATTTATATTTCATTATTAAATAGAAATTTTAATAAAATAAGGACAATATCTTTGATTTCCATAAATTAAAATAAAAATCTATATTTTTCTCTTTACAAAATATAAAAAATTCATTATTTTCACTAAACTTTCCATTATTTGAATAAAATAAAAAAATATTTATATATAATTTTTCACTACACGTCAAACTTACCAACACAATCGTAATTCGTCCCCACTGATTTACACGATTATTCTCTTCTTCCTCTCCTATCAGAACACTATAGATCACTATGCGAGACACTGAAATTCGATCAACTGTTTCTGTCGAACAACTTATACCAAGGATCTCTAAAGTCACGAGAGTCGACCAGAATCTAAAGAAACAAACTCTATCCCCAACCTACTTGCGTGAAAACTTCGAGACATAGAAAAAGTTTCGCCGCGGGTTCTTTAAACCGATTATTACTATCGACTAGGGAATTTTTTATTCGCGAGATTGCAACGAAGAAGGCGAAGAGTCAACCGGAATATTCACCGGAAGGAAAAGAAAATGTGCTACCGACAGGTGAGGATTGTCGGTGTGCCTTCTGTCAGACGACTTCACAAACGAATGACGAACGAGCGAATGGTCGGAGGATCCATAAGCATCGACTCTTTTGCCCGAGGACGAAGGAAGAGGTAGTCACGGCGCAGGTTAAAGCCCCGCCAATACGAGAGAACGAATAGAAAAGTTTTCGAGAAATTTTTCAAATCTTTTTGTTGCGTTTTTGTTGCTAATAGTTTATATTTTTGAGTGATTTTTCTTTAGGATAATTTATAATTTATATTGAGCAAGATTTATTTTAGAATTATAAAAAGAATTGTAAATTTGTTAATATAAAAAGTTAATTTCTTAAAATAAAAATTTTTATTTGAGCAAATAAAAGGAATTTTGAAATATTTTTTTTAGTCATTTTAAAATTTTTTTATTGGATTATTATTTGATATGAATTTGTTTACTTACAATTAAATTTTTTCACTATTAAATAAATTTCATTGCTTTTGAAAATTAATTTAATTTTTCTTTTCAATTAAGGAAATTTTAATGTGAAGTCAGTTTGATATTCATATATAATTTAATTTGTATCTCTTGTAACTAATTTTTATTGAATTTGTTAAATTATTGTTAAATTTAATCAACAATTTAATTTAAAAAAATTTTTTTTTCTTTTAAATAGAAAAATAATTCTTCTCGTTCAATATGTATAGATATTATATTAAATCTATATTGAAATTTACTTTATATTAAACCACATGCTATATCAATTTTAATCATGTTGAAGTCTAGCAATCAGTGTCAATTTTATTAAAAACAGGGAGAAACATGTAAACCTGATAATATTTCTCTTCGCAACTAGAGTTTCTATCCTACTACGAGAGAGCTTTATGTGCCACCGTACTCTTCCTGTTAGGATGCACTCGACAGCCATGCTGGTTCAGACATTTCTATCTTTTTCCCACTTCAGACTATGCAACCCGGCTTTCAATTTTATTTCGTTCCTCAATCATACACCGTGTTTCGTCCAGGGATGCTGCAATGCGGCTCTCCTGTCTTTGCATCGATTGCACCAACGGTTACCTTTTTTATCCTCTCAACCAAATAACTGTAGGCCTAATCTATATATTTCTTGACCGTTTCTTTTTACTTCGACTAAAAAAGAATATTGTAGATTCTTCTGTTTTTATATATTGAGAAATCTATGTGTAATTAAAGTTTTTTTTGGAAATATTATTCTATTGTATTAATGTTTTTAAAAATTTAATAATGTATTGTGTGAAAACTTAGATTTTATTTGATTAAACTTGAATTAGAATCGATATTTTTGAAATATTCGTTTTTTGATAATTTATATCTAACATCTTTTTATAAATTGCAATTAATGGATGATTTTTAAAGATTCTGAATATATATCATGAAATATCGGAATTTAATTTTTTCATATAAAAATATTAAATAGAGATTTGTAAGAAAAAAGGATATTTAAAATTTAATTTTGATATTTTTCAAGCACAAAATGATCGATCAAAATTGTTTTTAACAATATGAACTTTCACGCACATTTTAAAGATTACGCTTTCATTAATTGATTAACGCCCATAATGCTAATATACTACGTATTACGATTTTATCTATCTAATGGATCTTAGAAAATTCGAAATAATCAGAAGTAAGTGTTCCATGTCTGATCAAAATTCTTCACTGATCGCGTCAGCTCGAGCATAAGTAATTGCACCTAAAGTGCCATCTAGCGATGTACTCAATTTGCATTCAAATATTTATACAATTTTTATGTACATTAAAAAAATCTTTAAAATCTTTAAAAATCTTTAATGAAATGAAAATTGAAAGTTATATTTTAATTAGGTTTTCTTCGTAACAATTTTCTAAAATATGTCATAACAAACAATAATATATTTATATTACATATAAATATTCAAATATATAAATATAAATATATGAATTATATATCATTATATAAATATATAATAATATATAAATATTTTAAATATTTAAGTTGATATAATAAATTTTGAAAGAAATATTATTTAAAAAATTTTTCTATTCATATTTAATGAATATAACAATTATGACAATGTTATTTACCATTTAGAAATTTAAGACTTTCACGATCTAGCATCACAGAATTATTATTAAGGTATCTTAGGTATTTTAATCGTGCTCTTTTAAAACAAAAATACTAATATTTGCGAACATTACAATTCACTCCATCAAAGATCGAAGGATACACTGAGAAGTTCAACAGTTTGTGGTAGAACAGCAAACAGTCGGGAGCAATGTTCGGGTAACATCGGACAAGATCGGGTAACAATGTAGTAGGCCCAATAGGGCTTAAAGTTTCAAGCCCCCACTCCGTTAATTTCGCTGTCCGTAGTTTTGCCCTCAGCACTGTTCAACCGCGCAATCGCGAGCGTTCGTGATCAAAAAGTCATTCAACTTTGAATTTCTATTTTCTTTTCTATTTTTTTATACGATTTTATAATTATTTATAACAAATAATACGAAAACTCGATATTTATATTTTTACGGCTGTTCTCATTCCCATAATTTTTTTCTTTGCCAAAAGAAGGATAACTTCGTCCTTTAACCTCAATTTCAACTAAACATGCATATAATTCGAATTTATCATTACTTTTACGAATGTTTCCTATGAGTTTATTTCGTATAAAAAAAAAGTCTTTAAGTTCTTTCTATATTTCTATTTCAATTTTTTTTTCAAATTTTCAGGTTTTAATTTTTCCTTGCAAACGTTAGTCATGATTGATTTAACTCCATCCATAACTGCAACGCTGTTAAATATTCGACAACGATGTGCCATACGCCACGTGCCCGCAACACGCTCCTGCAATTAGGCCTAGGAATCGCTATTGTGCCGGAGCTTGACCCTCTCAAATAGAATCTCGACAATGGGAATTCGAGCAATTTGCCAAGAGGAACTGGCCCAATTGTGCCGCGATCATGAAATCGGACAAACTTTGCCAATGAGATTCTCCAAATTGACGTTCAGTTCCATTTCGCTTTGTTAATGAAGTTAAACGAACGTCCGTTTTATTCCGTTTCGATGTTGAATCCTTGTGGACGATCGATCATGCTCGATGCTTACGAATTAATCAGAGGAGAGTTGTTTAATATGCAGCAAGCATTTAATGAAGTAAACAAGGAGCCATAAATGTAAGAGAAATATAAATGACACAATTTTTTAATCGTATCATATTTTGCATGTGCCATGAATAATTTAGAGAATTTAGAAGCAATTAATGTAAGATTTTAATTTATGATTTTATCGATGAATTAGGATTCACTATTTTATTTGGCATTTTCACTTCAGACTACTTTCATTTAATAAAAATAATTTTTTTTTTTAAAATATATATTATACATTTTATTAATAATATACTCTATATTGATATTTTAAGAAAAGCGATGGATGAACCTTGGTGAAGGAATTTCGTGTAGCAAATCAAATTTGTGAAATTTTTCTTTGGAAAGAAAGAACATTCACGAAACAAGTAAGCAATTTATTCCGATCTCCGTCCCTGGAGCAACAAGAAGCAGAGCATGACAGCGCCACGAAGAAAGACTGGACACAGTTTGTTGGCATCAGGTTATAAAGAATACGAGTCATTACGAGATTCGTCTTTTCCAGTGCAAAATTCTTTGCGAGACGGTATTCACCTTACTTTCTCGAATGATCAGATATACATCTTTTATCTATTGTTCGACAATCATCAGGAATATCGAGATCTCAAAACAAAAATAGATAGAAAAATTGTTTAATGTAATTGACGATACTGTTCTCCATAAGTAAGATAAAATGCAAAAAAATAATAATTTAAACATCATTAGAGTTTTGACAACAATTAAAAAATACTTCTTGCGTTTTATATTAGATTTCAATTTTTTAAAAATATTGTTAATACTTTAAAAAAACAGAAAAATGATAAATCATTTTTAGATTAAAATATATATTAATAAAATTTAATTTCCAATGATTACAATTACTATTTTTATTATTGGAAATTATGTAGAGAAAATAAATAATTTTTTAATAATAATTGAACTATAGCAATAAAATATATTATTATTGTAAATAATAATTGTTAATAATTCTTCTAGACAAAAGATATTAGAAACACGATATACATGTGTTGATTCTATGACGAAAGATTGTTTAGGAATAGAAACTGCGTATCCTCCATAAAACAGTTTCACATTTAATCCGACCTGAATATTCGAGAATTTCAAGAAGAATTCATGCTTCTTAGAACGAGAAGTAAGAGTAAACACATCAAACAACATTCTCTCTGATTTATTATTAACATAATTTTCAAGTAAATAATAAAAGCGTGACTTTTATGCAAATAAAATATTTGAACATTGCATTAAAAAAAATTCTCCATACAATTCCTAAAATCGTTTATGATTTGATATAAATTCATTACGTAATTAATTACTTTCATTCATTACATTACCATAATACGTGTCATTAAAGATTAATTAATAACTGATTGTGAAACCAATGAAAGACATTATTGAATGGAACTCAACTCATTCAGATAAATATACAGCGATAAGAGACATAAAAAGATTAAAGAAGTTTTATATTATTGCATTGTAATAAATAATTATATATATATATATATATCTTATATATTCTAATTAATATAGATATTCGAGTAAATCTAATCGAATTAATAAGAACTTAACGTGCCCCGATAATTTTGCATGGATCTGTTTCTACGACTCTATAATTATTCGCTTCGATTGTTCTATTCGTGATACGGAAATTTTCTCTGTGTCACGGCAACGGATCAACCAAATTAATGGAACATAACTAAAAATGCTTCTCCAATTCATCATTTTCTCTTGATTCTCTTTTTAATTTGGCGAGATAATTGTAATTGTAATATTTGTAATTTGTATAATTTGTAATTTTATATAAAAGTTCTTTGAACAAATGGTAAATATGATTAAATACTTTATTATTTAATCATAATTAATAATATTCATCATTATGAATATTAAGTTACTCATTTAAATTAACTTGGGATGCATCAATATCAAAAATCTTATAAAATAATTTTCAAACTTAATATAATTCTAATATAATCTTTTTGGATATTTGAAAACAAAGTGAATAGACAAAATGTTTCTTTATTAAAGTTAAAACTTCTTGAAAAGAAAAGTATTTTGATTAATGTATTAATAATAATATAATGATTATCTTATCATGATGTCATTCCACAAAATCATTTCAAGAATAAGAAAATAAATTATTTTGAAGAATGTATTGGCATCTTACATAGCTTCTCAAGAGGAGTATATTCTAAAATGACATTCAGCAATGAACTATTTAATTTCATTTTTAAAAATATCTGGACAAACTTCTTATAAAATGAATTATTTCATTTACTCTTTGAATAAGAAGAATTTTTTCTATAAATCTTGAAAAATATTTTTCAAAATATTCAATACTTATTCATATTATCATTAATTGTATGTCATATAAAAAGTGAAAAACATTTAAAATATCACAAATATCATTATAATTAAACACAGAATCGTTAAATATAGTAATAAATAACTTCTGCATAAAATGAACGCGGGAAAAATAATTTTCTGCAATGTTTCCTTTTTGAGGAACCCAGGAATTTGAATATTTGCCAAGTACACGTGTACTCGAGTACAGTTTCGAACACTTGAGGAGTATGCTTGAAGCAAGGGGAAAACATACACCGTAGACAAAGTGAAGAAGTATCTCCCTCATTTTATAACCTCAAAAACTCGAGGATATCTGAAAGTCGGCAAATATTCAATTTCAATTTTCACGAAGCTAAATCTTTTCCTTCTTGTGAAATCATTTTTTTCTTTTTTTGCAATATCAAATGTATATTACGAAAATGTGAATCCTTTTCGAATCTTCTTTTAATTTGTCAATATAATTTAAAATTAGATCATTCAACATCAACAAATAAATTTATTTCTTATTTTATTTCATAAATAATTATTCTTTTTATTTATTTATTATTTTCATAATAATAAAAGATTCCTAATTTTATTTTTACATTATAAATAATTTCTAATCTGTCAGATAGCTTTCGAAATGAAATCTAATATCAAGTTAAATACATGCATATTTTTCTAATTACAAAAAAACAATATAATTATATACTTACTTGGATTTCGTTGTATTTCATGATAGAGAATAGTTAATATTTCCTTAGGATTCAAGTAATCTGTTAGTCCATCGGTGGCAAGAACCAAAAAATCCTCTGTTCCGTCTAAAGGAACAGATTTAACTTCTGGTTCACCTGTTACGAACGGTTTATATCGAACATCACCTGAAATCAAGTAAAAGTACAAAAATTATAAAAATTGTAAAAAATAATTTTTATCCTAGTATAGAATGATTTTTCTAATTACAAAAATGAAAAGGATACCAATTAGATAAAAATCATTCGAATATTTAGATATTTCAAACCGATTAAATACTCAACAATATTGTATTTCGATTGTTTTTTATTAAGTTCGATAAAATTAGTTAAAAAACATTTGATTATTGGACCTAAAATTTCGTGTTTATTTAATTTAACTGTAAAGAATTTTCATTCATGGTTATAGTAAATCGATGAAAAAATCACGTAAATTTATAATAACCGGAAGCATCTGTATTACAGTGGTACCATTATTTAAATTAGCTACGCCATTCATTAAAGTTAATTGCAACCTAGTTGAATACTGATACTCCCCATGTTTTACCGTCGCGTGTTTTTCAAATATAAAAAAAACATTACGTGTAATAAATAACTGTAATAGTTAATTCCATAAAATTACACGTCACGGGATATGAAATTCTCTCTTTTTCTCCATTTATTCTTTTATTTTGTCTAAACTCAATTGAAAAATTTCTCAGATATCATAAATTTAATTCGAATCATAATTATATTAAAAATTTTTAAAGAAATTGATAAACATTATTTCATATTATATTCTAATATAAGAATATAAACTGCGTCATTTATGATATAAACTATTTAATTATGTACTGCTTTAAATATAAATTGCAACATAACAAAATTTTACATTATGTTATTTGTAAAAAAAAATCATAATATAATCATAATATAATCATAATAAATTGTTCAATCGCGTACTTTACTTAAATTTAACGTTAGAAAAAAAAGATTATATTTTGTTTTATCGATATTATAATTAACATTGCATATTTTATGATTTTAAAAAGCTACCAAATCAAAATAATTCAAGAGAAAGAGATTCAATAAATTAATATTATGTTAAACAAATACAAATCATTTGAAAATTATTTTTTAATAATTGCGCAATGTTTTTTATTTTTCAATTAATTTCAAATATATAAATTATTTACTTTTATAATCAACTTATTAAAAATTTTTATCATTAGAACTATTCTATTAAACTACTATGGATATTTGAAATATAATAATTTGGAATTTAAATATTATTTATAAATTAAGATAAAAATAAATGCTTGCAAAAAAATAGAAATTATTGAGACATCTGGTAGCAGTCTTTGATACTATGATATACTTATATAGGAATTAGAAAGATTTGATATATATTCCTATTTTAGATTCGAAAATACCATAAATTTAACTCAAACATATTATATAACAATTATAAAAAACTTTACAAGATTTAACATTTGATTATTTTCATTAACAAAATAAAAGCAAAAAAAAATATTAAGCAAATGTTTTTCTGATATTACTTGTTTGGATGTAATTAATATTCCACAAATATTTACGATCGATAAAAGATTCATAAATAAAATATAATTCTATGATAAATATCACTTATCGAAATTTTATGACGTCGAAGCAAAATTCCTGCAGAGGACAAGCGTTCGAAACACGCGTCTTCTCGCGATGCATAAACGGTTTAATGGGCTGTTAATTATTCCGGGCATGCAATTGTAGAAGCCACCCAGTAAAGCGTCCATTGCTCGAAGCATGGTTGCACGTACTATTGTGTCAGCGGTCAAACGGAACCAACAGGATACCCGACACGCGTCCAGAATTTTTTCTTTCCTTTTCTTCGTGGTACCTAAGCCATAGTTGGCCAGCTGTTAGTATACGCAGATTCTTCCTATTTGGTTTCTACGTGAAACACGTGACTTTTATCGGATTATCTTGTAAAGATGATCAAGATTTAGTTGATGAAGATTCAAATTATCGTATATACAATAGATTATTACAATATGTGATTGTTTATAAAAAGAAACTTAAATATTTAAATAATTATAATTAAGAAGCTCAATAAGGGCTCGATACAAAGAGGGCACCACGTGTCTCGTCTATATACTTTTGATTTTTTGTATCATAATATGATAAATTAGTACAACGTCATAATATTAGTTCTGAAATTATTTGTTTCCTATTTTAAAAAATTGCAAAAATTCTAAATTATTATTATTAGCATTAAATTATTATAATTAGCATTATATGATGAACAAAGGAGTCGAATAATAAACTATTATTTATATTTATACATAATCATTTATATTCTTGTTATTAATTACGTATTTATCAATTTCCAACCATCAACAAGTATTTATTTCTTTTATCTTTATTTTTTGTAACTTTTATGCAAATTATTTTCATCTAATTTGTATTTAAATTAAGTTTTAATATATATCACACAAAAGTTTTAAATAAAATAATTTAAAAAAATCATTAATATTTAAAAAATGGTTTATCGATATATGTGTTACTTTTTTACCGTTCGATTGTTTTCACATCATAAAATAGTGCATAACTTGAATATAATATTTATTATATATATAACATTAACATTTTTAAAAATAATATTTAATTAAGTAAAATTTATTATTTAAATTTATTAAAATGTATTTGTTTATATAATATTTATCATAATATCCAAGTTTGAATCAAATTAATTCTTTAAAATAAAAACAAATAATAATTGTAATAAAATAGTTTGAAACTTACATGTCAAAATAAATAATAGAATCAAGTTTGAAAAAACTAAAATAAATCATTACACAGTATAAATACGAACTAGAATAAAATAATTTAAAAATTTATAAGAACAGAACGATATTTATTATCAAAAATGTAAATTTTTAAAGTTATCTTCATTTGTAATTATTCAAATAATTAAATAATTAACAAATTTAATGAAAAAAAATAATTTTCATTCAAAAATTTTTTTTTATATTTCAATTTTTTTTATTCTATAAAATAAAACTGGTTACATAAAAAAAAGTATAATAAGTAAACCACATCATAAATTTAGAATAAACAATAATTTAAAAATGACTGATAATAAAAAAAAGTATATCATGAAGATAATAAAATAAATGTTTTTTATTCTATTTAGAAATAAAAAAAATAAATTTAAAAAAGATAATTATTTAGAAAAATTAATTTTCTAATATAGAAAATATATAATAACATTTTTAAAGTTACATGAAATATAATTTCGATTGAATTTGTTGAAATATATATATATTCAATGCAATTGACCGATCATTATACTTGTATCGCCATCTAGTGATATTTAGTTTGCATGACAATAGTGAAATTGATTAAGAAGTTAATGTAAAATATAGTATTTCATCAAAAATAAAATTAATCGTGCAATGTGCAAGTGAATATTAATGTACTTTATTTTATACGTGCCAATAAATGTAAGTATTAAGAATAATATACTTTGAATAGAATATTAAACTTGAAATATAAATATTATTAATCAATAACATAAATCGAGATATTAAAATTGCGTAATTTCTTTGTTTGGTATCAAAAATTTTTTTTATAAAAATTGTGATATGCAATGTTTTATAATAGTCATATATTATTATAGATAAATGTAAAGTTAACCTAAACGTTGAACCAAAAATATGAATTAGTCATACATATATTTAAAATACCATAAATATTCTATTTTTTAGATAATTTAGATATTTAAGAGTTTATTAATATATTATATTCATGACAACTAATATAAATATATACTTAATAAAAAGTAAAAATAATCTTTAATTTTCAATAAATATAAAAATATTAGATATATTTTTTAAAAATTTAAAATATATAGCATCTTATAAATATCTAGTGATAAAAATTTTATTATGGTTATTTTATTTAATCTATATTGATATTATGCAGAATTTGATTATTTTTTTCAAAAATTTTTGTTATTAATAAATTAATAAATTATTAATAATTATTAAATTTATTATAGAATCATATCTTTCAAAGTTACAAATTAAAATTAACTTACCTATTGCCCTTGAAACACCTAATACTCCATTTACACGCATAGTTCCCATACTTGGCATCACTACTCCTCCTGCTTTTCGTATCCTTTGTACTTCATCCTAAAGCAAATAATGAATATTTTTCGCAGATAATATTATGAATTTTTAATAGGACACATTATATATATCAAGTATCAATTGTTTTTTAAACAAAGCAAAATAAATCTAATTTGAAATTTACTGTCAAAATATCTTTAAATCAAAAAATAAATTTTGGTATAATAAATTATTAAAATCATTAATTAAATAAATTTAAAATGACATTAGTAGGGACACAAATAGATAGTGATAAGAGATTACTAATTTTTGACACTTATGAAGATTATTTGAATTCTCTAATATCATTTGTTGATCTTGGATATCTAGGAAATCTTCATATTGCACGTCAATTAGCTGAACTTGGCTATCGTTGTGCAGGTGAAACACTCGATGAAGATACATTTTATCGACGTTTAAAAGCTGTGAAAAATTTAGTTTTTCCAATTTATAAACCATATGAATTAACATCAGAACTATTGATACCAAGTGATAATGTAATGCAAGAATTAGCACTTAGAGAACATTTAAACAGATTGAAAATCATATCCACTATTATATTTATAAGAAACTTAACAAAACTTCAGTTTGAGGTTTCTGGTTACATTGATTATAATGAAAGACTTGAAAAAGAAAATTGGCTTGCATATTTTGAAGGAAGAAAAAAGATATGGCCTTGTGCATCTGATCTTGCATACTATGATTGGAGAACAGGAAAATCATGTTTAAATGAAACATTAAATTTTGAACCTGTTATAGATCCAATATTAGGTCTTCGATTCAAACATAATCATGATAGACATTTCATTAATGTAGATCCTGGAGTACCTACTCCAGGAATATATACAACACGAGTAAGAATACATAGTCAACAATATCAACATGTAATATTATATGATCATGTTCTTAGGAGTAAAATTTAAAAATATTAAATGGAAATATACTTACTTCACGATGAAGTCGATGAGGATTCACTAGCTGAACAACACTATCACGTTTTATTAGCATGGCTGTTGAATCTCCTACCCAGGCAACATATAATTTTTTATTTAATATTAAAGTGCAAACTGCAGTAGTCCCACCACATAGTTTCTAAATAAAAATATTAAAAATAAAAATTATATAAATATAAAATATTGCACATTTATTTAATTACATTATATATACATATATATATATATTTTTTATTTCTTACTTGTGTCTTTGATTTTTCTATAAATTGTCTGTCTGTAGTAAGAAAAGCATCGCGTAAGGCACGCTCTGGATCTGTAGGATAATATATGCTTTCTGTTAAATATTGATGTAGATGAGCAGCACAATATACAGCTGCATCTTGTCCTGCATGTCCATCAAATACTGCATAATAATTTGCTATAGAATCATCCTAATTTGAAACATATTTTTTTAATAAAAAATTCATTATTTATATTGTATTAATTATTAAATATCTAATATCAATATTTACCTCAATACCAAATGTAGTATGTAAATCGTGTAAAATCACATAACGGTCTTCCATTTTTCTTCTACAATTTTTACTTCCACCTGCTGTTATTTGTGGTAATGGAGTTGAAGGAGGAGGTGGCAATAATGCCAATCTACTATTGTCCAGATAACGGGTACAAATTTCATTAACTTTATTAATAATAGCTTGCATTAATTTTAATGAAGTATATGCTATAAGATAAAAAATATCATTAGATACATTTTTTTTATATAAAAAAAGTTTATTGAAAGATAACATACTTTTTTCTTGGGATTTAAATCCACAATCTTCTGGTTGTTTTTTGCACATAGATTTAATTTCTTGTATCACTTGATGAACTAAATATGCTTGTAAACTTGCTGGACATTGCCTAGAACATTAAAAAATTCTTTATATATATATATAAAATAATTAATCTCCAAGAACTTATAATAATATAGATTATTTTTAAAAATAATTATCTAAATAAATTTCGCAATATAACTCTGAATATAGAAACCATAAAAATAATTGAAACAGTAGTTAATAAATTGACGGTAATATACGAAATTTTGAATTTACAATTCAAAAATTTATTTTTTATATGAAAATATATTGTTATATATAATAGTATAATACATAATAGCAACCATGGATTTTTCATTTCGAAATTCTTTAAATCGTAAGCACATACATAATTTAAATTATTTAATTTATTCAAAAAATAATTTTAAATTAACCTTCGAAATATATTTCTTAATATTTGCGCATATGAAATCTAATATATGAAATCTAATTATAATCATTACATATTATTTTATATATTATAATTATTTTAATTTTTAATTATTTGATTTAATCGTAGAAAAAGTTTTTAAGCTTTTTACGATTTAAAAATTAAATATTCAACAGATGGTTAATATATAGTTAAAGTAATGTATACACAAAACTTTCATTGAGGAACAAATGAAAATTTTATCATATTAAAGATTATATTTAATATATATAAAAATTTCCATATAAAAATTAATTAATTATTGTTATTTATTATTTATAATTATTGTAATTCCTTATTCAAATTATTTAGATAAAAAAATATTAATATTTATATCATTATAGTGTTCATATTATTTATATTAAGAAATTTATATTATTTATCAAATTCTACTGTAATTTTATAATATATTTAATTCATAATTAGTATTAATTCAAAGTTGATATTTAAATATATATTATATAATTTTTAATTTTTTTAAAAATCATATTTTATCACGTTCTTATACTGTGATAATTATAGATAACAATCATACAATTTTAAAATTATATTTCAAAACTAAAGAGAAAATTTTAATTAAATTATTGTATTTGAAAAATAATAAAATTATAAAACTTAAATTATTTAAGTTTAGCAAGAGTTTTCTAAATGAATCAGATTATTTTGTTTTTTTTCCCATCTTATTATATTATATTCAAAGTAAAATAAAATTAAATATTTTACAATTTTCTTGTGAATTATTTGACAATATTTTACATTTTTTTTTAAATATTTGTTATTTTTATAATTATTAATATTTTTCTTTTTAGTAGATAGAAAGAAACAATCATTATTTAAACTTTATTTCATTAAAAGTTTCACATTTCTTCATAAAAAAATATCATTGTAGAAATAATGCATTTCCTTTACTAAAACATTCATACTTTTATATCTTATCTAATAAACGTAGTAGTACATTACAATCAAATATATCGCTTTATCTTATTGAATCCGGATATTTATAATTTATTATAAGAAGAATTAGATTTATCTTTTTAAATAATTATTACTAAATTATTACTAATTATTACTAATTAAAAAATTGAAAACTTTATAAATTATAATTTACTAATTAATTTATTAAAAAAAATAAAATAAAAGAATTTGAAAAATTATATGCATTTCCATATCAGTTTAAGTATATCGTTTAGATATAAAAAATCTATGGAGAGGAGAAGTTACTTCAAAACAGCATACGATTGAAGAACAAGGAGATTACGCTTTAGATAGACATTTTATCAACATCATAGACACCAATAATAGTGAGGAGACGACTGCATCAAATATATTAAAATCAAAATCTTTCGAACTGGTTCATAGTGAGAACTCGCCACAGTCTGTGAGAAAGTGTTTCAAACGAATACCAAACACATCTTCTCAGGAGCATTACCAACAGGAGAGAGAAATGACATCGATCGTCGGCACTTATCAACATGAAAGCAATGAAAACCTCGACGAATATTTTAAAGCTGTGGGTATGTTGAAAGCGACTAAAAATGAATGTGGTATATTTTCCTATGAAAGCAAAAATAAATATCTTCTATAACATTATCTTTTTCCGCATTGTTTTCTATTTAGTTTATTATTGAAACATTTAAGAATGAAAAAAATATTTATTTATTATACAAAATAATAATTATAAATACATAATGCATTATTATAATTATAAATTAAAATTTTGTTCTTGATTAATGTATAAGTATGTATACATAGCACGTGCAAATATATAATATATATACATGTATATATATTTACATATGTATATAATATGTGTATAATATATTTTTATTACTTATATTAATAATATGTACGTTTTTTTTATTGATTAAATATTCCGTTGAATAAAGAATTAAAATATTTAATCTCAATGAAATATTTATTGTAAACCTTTTATCGAATTATATTAAATATGTCGTTAATTTAATAAAAAACAAAATTTTGAATGTGATTAATATTGTATTATATACAAAATCAAAATAAAAGCGATTTCGTTTTCAATTATATGCACCTATAGGTGTACCATACATTCCACGAAAACTGATGTGTATGTCCAGTCCGCGACTGGAAATATCGAACGATGATGATAAATGGACCATTCGTACCATTACAATGATTCGTATGGCAGAAGTGACGTTTACTCTCGGTGAAGAATACGAAGAATACATGCCTACAGGAGTTATACTGAAAGTACTATTAATATTTATCGAACTATTGTATTCATTTTAACTTAATCGATAACCATCTAAATTTTTTATAGAAAAAAAATATCATTTTTTTAATAATCCAATAAATTTAAATATTTACCGTTAAATGGTATAAATTTATATACCATTATATAAGATAAGGGTATAAATTTTAAAAAGATAAATACTTGCATTTATCTATTAGAAAAATCATAAAAAAATACTTAAATATTTAATGCAGTGCAACTATAACTATAAGTATAATTTATGTATATACTATTTTTAGTTTTTATAATATTTTATGTCTGCTTTTGTTTAGAATATAACTACACTGGAGGGAGATAATCTAGTGACAGTTTCAGTCGGTCCAAATAACAGCAAAGTATTACGGAAGTACGAAATTACAAAAGATGGTGTAGTTTTGGTACGTGTCATTTATATTTTCATTCACATAATTGTTGGAAGTATATTCTGAATTTTTTAAATATGAAATATTAAAAGAAAAATAGAAAGATTTTATTTAAAAAAATTTTAATTATTCGAAAATTAATTAAATTAAAAATTAGAGGTTAATTCAATTAATTTAAGATTTTAATTCAAATATTTTACAAGAGATTTTTTTATATTAAACTTACTTTGATAGTAATAAACTTTTTTCATAATTTATTTATTCATTATTCACATTATCATTTATATATTGCACACATATAATCTTTAAATTATATATAACACTAATTATATATATAAAAAATATAAAAAATATTTCAACATTTTATATATATTTTTTAAACTGTTAATTTATAATTAACACTAATTTATTAATCAAAATAAAAATCTTTGTAAATTATTACATGTATGTATGTATAAATTAATCATATAAACAATGAAATGAAAAAATTAATAATATTATATTTTCTATTTTCAGATAATGACTCACGAAAAGAGTGGCCAAATAGGAAAACGCTATTTTAAGCGTCTTTAATAAATTTTAATTGCAAAAATATTTCTATATTTTATTCGATATTATTATATTACATTAACTTATTATTAACTTATTATATTACATTAACTTATTATTAATGATTAATTTTTTACTTACATTTTACGTATATATATTACATATATATACAACAATAAGTTAAGATAATATAATTTGAAAGCATATTTTAAATAAAGAAAAATTATGAAACGTAACTCGCATAGAAAATGCTAATAGTGACTAGAAGAAAAAAGTCACGGATCAATCGTAAATGTTTCTACCGTCATTTATGGCATGCGCCCCACCTACTTTTACTGAATGTCACGTGTTGCATAATATAAAAAAGCATGGATAAATAAAAATTATAATATAAATTTAAAATAAAGAATTAAAATCTCGAGTATTTGAGTTGTGTTTAAAAGTATCAAGATTATTTGTACGTTTATATATAATAGAAAAAATTACTATAAAATGTTAGTTTACAAGATCTATATTGTTTCTGTTTACATTTGATGCCGGCCGCCATAGAAGCTATCAACAAATAAACATGTCTTATGTCCACCCACGCATTGGCATGCTGTAATATTATTCATTTAAAAAGTACATTCACTTACGTCTGGTTGAGATATTGTAGAGTCACATTGATGATTTCACCGACGATCTCAGCTTCGGTCACATTATATGAGCTCACCGAAACAGGCAGTTGATCGTATGGATTTACTCTAGAGACAAATTCAGAGAAAAAACGGCTATACGCCCCAAGATAATCACCATCAGGACAATCTTCCGCCATTCTTTTTTGTCTTCGTGAAAAATTCAAATTAGCGGCGCACACTTCTGTCAGCACAAAGAGCACGATACTTGACTTCGTTTATGAGATGTTAACACGATACCTCAGTAGCTATCTCTTCGCAAGTCGAATTAAGACATAGAAATATAAGAATGAAACGAAGAAAAAGAGGAAAAAAGCAAAAGTGTGTATGTATTTTGTTTTTATCGTTTTTCTAACAAAGCGATGTTCTGATCTAAACCTATTCGTTGATAGGAGATATTTGTATTTAGGTTACGTCACTCATTCAACATCGCGTACGCACATAACACTACGGGTTCGATCGAACGACGCGTTTCACTATTGTGCTTCTCTCAAAGAAGTGGGGAGGATTTGCCGCGACGTTTAAACACTATCTCTCCCGCTTCTTTGAGTCCAGCGTTGCTTTTTGCCTTTCCTTTTACCACGGCCACTGGCCACTTGCGGATTGACTCTCGTAACGGAGGAAAAAGTGCGTAACGGAATTCACCGAGTAGCATACTGCGCATGTCTGACACGGAGCTCTATTGCTTCTCGACTGTACATCTACTATACTTCTTTATATTCTTATATCTATGTATTTATTATTATCTTTTTTCAAATTATATATATTGTCATATATATTTGATCTTATATTTGATAATATTTATTTAAAATAAATGATCATATAAATCTATAGATACAAAGCATAATCAAAATAAAATTTTCTTTATAAAAATATTAAAGAAAAATGAATTCATTTAAAAAGAAATATTTCCAATTAAGTATTAAAAGTAACTAATTGTAAAATAAATATGTAAATTATTTTTATTAAAAAAAATTAATATTTAATTGTAAATAAATTGTACATGTATATTAAAGTTATATTATAATAATTTTAATTATTTTGAAAAATTTTAATTAAAATATAAAAATATTTTTATTTATATATTTATGTGCATAATAATAAATATATTGTATTTTATATTGTAAAATACATATATATATTTTTATATATTTTTTTATTTTTAATAAGTTAAGTTATTTTTATTTTAAATTTGATTAAAATTTTAGACGATAAATTAATTCCTAGCAAATTTATTTTATACTTACTTATTTTGACTAATTAATATTTTTCATATCATGTTTCATACTCAATTTATAATTTAAAATATACATAATATAAATTTATAATTTATAAATTTTTTGTTACAACAATAAAATACAAAATCTTCAAAAAATTTAAGATTTTAAAAAAATGTTTATTTTTATAATATTGCATTAGCTAAATTTTTAATATCATATAATATTAAAGAAATTAAATTATTTTTACATTATAGTACAAAAACTTTTTATATTTTCTTCACTTTTTTTATTTTTTTCTCTGTTACTTACAATTTTTAAATATGAATTCTGACTTTTTTCGTCCAACCACTTAGGTAGTGGTGCATTCCAATTTTCTGGAGGTTTATCTCGTTTTTGCCAAATATCATTACTATAATGAGCTTGTAACCTTTGAAATCTACGTTTTTTCTCACTTTCTATTAGTTCAATCTATATAAAGAATACAATATTAAAACATAAATATTTTCATTTTTTAAATTTTATATAATATTTTTCAATTATTTGATTTCTAACATACATATGCTTTTTTATCTTTTTTGCGTTCCCATAAATCACAATTATTATAATCAATTTTCCATTGTTTACAATCTATTGTTTCTCCAAATATGAAATATTGATGAAAACGAGCTCTAATGCTTGTACAATCATTATATTCCGCTTTGTAAATTTCACATGGCTTAATCTGAAATATAAAAAAATGTTAAATTAATTATTATAAACAAATAAATATAATATAATAAAATTAATTTTATTTTGCTATATCTTTAACATCTAATTAAAACTGAAATATAAATAAAGTTAAGATATAAAAACAAAACATATAATAACCAGCCAAGAATATTCAATTTCTTCTTGAATTTTGTTTGCAGTATTGTTAGGTTCAGGCATCTTAGTTTTATTTCTTTGATTAAATAATTTAGTTAAATAATTATCAATTATTTTTTTTCTTATAATTAAAACTCAGAATTAAATGATTAATATTTTTTCACCATTTAAAATTTGTTTTAATGAGATATTATGTTTATAAAAACGGAATATTTATAAATATTTAATAATTCAATACAACATGACATTACATAACATCAGTAATATAAGATTCCTATTGATATTTCAATAATATTATATTATATCTCACATTTAAATATTGAATGTTTCAAAAAAATTATAATTTTATTATTATATTTTAGATTACATTAAAACATTATATAAAAAAAATAATTATGAATTCACTTTAACATATTAAGCATAGTTTACATTTCAGATATAAGCCATCATGTTCAATCTGACAACACTGCATAAATAGCATAAACAATATTTTACAAGCATAAACAATTTTATATATTGTCATGAGTTTATTATTATTAATTTATAATATTTCAAATACTGTAATATTATAGTTTATGTATAAAAAAATTAAAATAAAAAATACAAAAATTTATCTTATTCAATAAGACAAATTTTGTCTTATTGAAATAGAAATACAAATTATATTTCATAAATATACTATGACAAATTATTGTAATCTATTTATTAATGTAAACAAAATAAATCTGTATTATATTACACATGCTATAATACTGAACTATAATTTCAATATAATATTTCATTTATTAAATAATTCATAATATGCGGAAAATCACAGCAAGTAAATTATACCTTAAAATGAATTATACATTAAATTATACATTAAAATGATAGTGTCAGTACTATTGTCAAATTTGATAAAATTTCCCTCTTTTTTTTTTTTTGAATAATTTTTTGTTTTAATAATTAAACTATTTATATAAATTTTTAATTAATAAGAATTATTTATGACAATGAATAAAATATTTTATAATATTTTATTCTTTTTTTTCTTAAAAATCTTTTTTATACATTCTTACATATGTATATATATATATATATATATTTGAAGTTTTGATGTTATATTGTTATTAATGTTATTGATGTTATATTAATTTTTATATCTTTCTAATCAATATTATATAATTATATAATAGGCATGTCTATAATATATATGCATTTACACTTTTTTATGATATTATAAAATAAAAAAACTGTTGGAATTGCATTCATTTGTTTGTACCAGTGATGCTCATTTTAACTAGATTTGATATATTAAATTCTAACAAATTTATTATATTATCGTTATTAGAATATTTTTATCATGAAATTTTATTTCATAGAAGTTAAACGAATGATACTGATTTAAATTTTTTCAAAACATAAAAATTTTAGTTTATTAATGAGTATCACTGATTTCCGCCATTCTCTCTTGCCCCTACCAGGCGTCGCGAACATATCGTCTTATTATGATTGTAATTCTTGTATTCTTGTTCTTAGTTTGAATTGAGTGTGTTTGCTATCTTATTGTAGAAATTTGCAACGACTGTCAGTTTCCTAACCTCTTTGCCGACGAATGTTCCGGTGTTTCATATTGTGTTCAGTTAATAGTAACATATAATCACATAACATGATGTCGCGGTCTGTGCGTGCAGAGACTCGTAGTCGTGCCAAGGATGATATTAAGCGTGTAATGCAAGTCGTTGACAAAGTTCGCCATTGGTAAATCTCTTAACATATTATAGATGCACGAGGAAATGTTGAAACGTTTCACAAAAAAGCAAAGAATGTAGTAAATATGGATATCAAAAATGGATTAAAATTTTTCTTACTTGCGAGATTTAATAGAGATTTTGCATTACACATGTCAGCTGTAAACAGACTTTTGTAGTTATGAAATATTTCATGTGTGTTGATTGAGTAATAGTGTTGTATGTCTGCTTTTTTAATAACAGTAAAGAAGGTAGCTCCTCTATCTGTTATTTTAATATTAATATAAGAAATGCGTTTCTCATGCTAATATTCTTATAGGGAAAAGAAATGGGTTACAATCGGAGAAACTACTATGAAGATTTATAAATGGGTACCTATATCGACACTTGATCAGGTAAATAAAAGTTGCAAAACATTTATAAAAATAATCTATTAAAATTAATATTTCATTTTGTAGAAGAAGAAAGGAAAAACAGTTGCAGACAAAGAAAATGGTTTGCCAAGAAAAAGTGGATTAGATTCTTCAAATTCCAACTTTGGTCTTACAGAAGATTCAAATACATGTAAGTTAAATTTCATAATATATAAAATATGTTATTTTTGAATATTAAAATTTATAAAAGTTGTGTAATATGTTAGGTTTTTCAACTGTTAGTGATTCTCAAGGATTAACAGACTTTTCTGCACATCTGGGATTTTCAGAAGATTCCAATTCACAAAATAGTGAACCAACACCTAAAAGGTTAAAGACTGATTAAAGTTTATCGTGTAACTGTTATTTGAGATATAAGATATTTAGGAAATCATTTTTATCTTCTACAAAATTTGCACATTATAAAGTTATCTTAAATCATGATTGTAAATTGACAAATTCAAAAAAATTTCATTTTTCATTTTATTCTATTTAATGAATATTTTTTCATTGAAGAAAAGATAATCATATTAAACAATTTAAGTTTAACATAGTAAATTTATTTTTTTATACATGAATTTATTACAAATTAACATGGTTTAATTTAGAAATCACAATTAATGGTATTTTAATAAAAAATTCGTTTCAGATATTCAGTGCATTTTATGATCTGATTTGAAAGAGACAACAAAAATGTAGTATAAAATTATTTTTCAAAACAGATTATATATTTTAAATAATATTCATATCATCATAATATTATTTAATTCATGAAATACAAACAAGATTTTCATTGATTTAATTATAACATCTTAATCATTGACATATAGAATCTGGGACATGTAAAATAGATAATGATACTTATTTTTGCTGTAAAATAGTACCTCCAAAACACTTATGTATAATGTTACATTTATCTTAAAGCTATTTATGTGTCTAAACATAATCACATGTTCAATAGTTGTTTGATAATTGAGTATCATTGTACATACTTCAAATACCATTTTTTTGCTGATTTATATTTTACAATGAACTTGCATTCCTTGAGATTATGTTATAGCACCATGAAATGTACAAAATACGCTTTGACACTTATAAATAAAAGAATAAAATTGCGAATGTTTGAATTTATATTTACATAAGTTTTTAAGAAAGCAGAAAATGCTTTGGTAATGTTATTACATAATCATTTTCATTTATTTAAAAGCTAATGTACTTAAAATATATAATGTTTAAACATTTATTAAAAGGAAGCAAGAAAAAAATTTATTACATAGTTAATTATTACAATTTCTGTATGATAACTGTATATATAAATTCTTATCTATTATTTTAATAATCTGTGTGTGTACGTTATGGACTATGTACAGAAAAAATCCGAATATAAAAAAAAATTTAATGTCTTTTTTAATACCTTTAATCTAGTAATAATCTTTAATGAAAGGTTTTTATATTTGAATTTTCATAATTTTATTTTAATTTAAATTCTAAATTGAATATTAATATTATTAATTGATATAATTAATATGAATATATTTGATAATAAATTTAATATTTAAAATTATTTTTAAATTTCTCTATTCTCTTAATAACTTAAAATCTGCATGTTTTGCATGATATTTCTTAAACAAATCAATGAATTAAACTATACAATTTTTTAAAAAAAAATGTAATATTTATATATTATATTTAATTTATATCTTAAACATAAAATTAAATAAAGAGTAAAATTAATAAAAATAATCATAAAAATAAAATATATATCTTATTAAGTAGATTGCAAGATAAACATATATGTTTACCAAGGTAAAATTTTTCCATCATATTGTATAAAACAACCTGTATGTTTTTCAGTTAATGTATTTAATGTTTTTAAGATGTTATTAACACTAGTATCAATATCCATGGGCGCCCCGTTACCACCCATATCTGTACGTACCCAACCAGGATGAAAACAAGCGACAAGGATTCCATCTTGCTTTAAATCAATGCTCATTGATTTTGTAGCTGCATTAAGCGCTACCTAAAAATAAGATAAAATATATAAAATATCTTATAATATGAATTATAAGATAATTGGTAAATTTTTTATTATATTATTCAGATTATATATGACTATAAATATATTACATTATATGTTGAAATAAAAAAAAATATTACCTTACTACATCTATATGGATAATATCCACCTTCATTATTTTCAGCAATACTTCCAAGAATTGAAGACATGTTAATAACTGCAGCTCTGTTAACATTCATTTTTGATTTGTCTGCAAAATTATTAGATGCTATTTTCAACAGTGGTAAAAATGCCTAAAAATTTATAAAAAATTAATTATTAATTTATAATTAAAAATGTATAAACTAAAATATAATGAATCTAACATATAAAAGTAATATTTAAATTATATAAAGAATTCTATAAACTATTTTATAAATAATAAATTATTTATAAATATTTTATAAAGAAAGGAAAAAACAGGGAATAAAAATTCTAATAATTTTCATTAAGATAAAATATATATTTATATATATAATTCTATAAACTATATAAATGATAAACAATTAGTTTTTTAAATAAAATGTATAAATATTTAAGTTTTAAAATATTTTTTTAATATCATATTTCCTAAATATAAAAATAATGCTTAAAATAAATTTAAAACTTACTTTTGTTAACATAATTGGCGCTATTGTATTTACATAAAATTGTTTTATAAGCTGTTCTTCTTTTACAAGACCGAGTCTTGTAAATTTTGTACTAATCCCGGCATTATTGTATAAGACATTTAGTCCTGCTTTGCCTACTTTTTCGTTTACGATTTGTACTAATTTGTCGTAATCTTTAGTATTTGTTACATCTTTAAAAAAAAAAAAAGAAAAAAAGAGTAGTAAAAATTGTTCAATTTTCAAAATGTATAGATTACAATTAGATTAAAAATATGAATTATTTACTATTTTTTAAATATAAAATATAACAAATTTTGCTAATATTGTAAAGTAATAAGAAATATCAAATAATGATCAAATAATATATACAACAATTAATTTCTCTTTACAAATTTATTGAATCTATTATTTATGATGAAATAAAAATCACATATATATTTATTTTTTTATTTTTAAATAATCATCTTTAACAATTATAAATGATCTGATAATAGTTATTTTTGAAAAATGAGTATATGTATATTTGTATGTATGTTGTATAAAAATAAAATTTGATCTTTAAAATTTTAATCTATATATTTAATACTTTCATAGATGACTTTAAACTATTAACTATAGTACTTCAACTATAGTGTAGTGTATTCCATTTACTATAATAATAGTTCTGGTCAATAGATTTGTATTTTTGATAAAGCAATTGCACAACAGAACAAAGTTGTTATTTTTGGTGTTCAATTTTCAAAATAATCTTGACATAAAAATTGATTTTCTAGTATTTGATGTAAAATTATTTAATCTCGACGATTTATAGTCATTACAATCATTACAATCAAATTTCATTACAATCAAATAAATATAATAGACATTGGTAAGTCATATTTCTTTTTTTTTACTTCTTTTTATTTATGATTTTATTAAATTTATATATAAGATACTATTTCCTTATTTTTAAAAATTATATTAGAAGAAATTTTTAAATTATTTGACAATTTTTTTAATAATAAAAAAACATAACTGAATTGAATTGAAAATGATTTATTATATATGTGTAGTTTATACATATTATATATGTGTAGTTTCGTTATGTGTTTTAAATCATGTATATGTATATATATATAATATATATATATGAATTGAAAATGATTTATATATTATATATATGTAGTTTCGTTATGTGCTTTAAATCATGTATATGTGTACATATATAATATATATATATACACATAAGAACTTAATTAATTTCTTAATTTCCTATATCTAAAATTAATATTTTTTACATTATATATTATTTTTTTGAAAAATTATTTTAAAATCGACATATTTTGTTATATAAATTGTTTAAATACATTAAATAATAAATATAAATATAAAATTTTATTATTATCAGAATGAATAACATTTTATAATTCATTATCAGATATCATATTAGATATCATAATAAGTACGTATCAATCAATATAATTCAAATGAAATTCCAATTTTTTTCAATAATAGTAAACAAATTTTTACTCTGCAAATATAGATTATTGTCTCTTCGATCATCAATCTGAATTTCTTTTGTATATTTCAATATGAAATCTAAGAAAAAGAAATCGTGGTGTCTTAATTGTCGGAAAAAATCGCAAACCATGGATTCAGATTTAAGTGATCAAGAAACAGATGACTATGCGAAATCTTTGAATAATCTTACGGAAAAACAAAATAATTTAACAGGTAATTTTTTTATAATTTATTATTAAGATTTTTAAAAATTACAATATAAAAAAGATATAAAAATTTTTTTATATAGATATTATTTTATTTAGATTTTTTTAAAAATTTTTATATATTTTATTGTTATTTAAAAATTTTATGTGACAAGCGACAAAAGAAAATAGTTTCAATAAAATCATTTCGACATTTCACAATTTAAATCTTTTGAAAAAATCTAAGATAGATTGATTACTCATGTAAAGTTATTGATAACATATTTTTTTAACACGAATGATAAAGATAAAACATATTGTTTAAAGAACAATTAAACATAATAATATAATTTAATAAAATTTAATAAAATCTTTTCTATATTTTATTATATTAGATATTATTAATTTATTATTATAATTTACATTTAAATTTACTTAAAAAGTTATTCATTTATTCATTTAAATTGTTTTCAAAATATAAAATAATATTTAAACTAATAAATTAAATTGTTTAAAATTAGAATTGAAAATATTCGTAATATGAAGCACCAAATTTTTTTTAAACATTGATTTTTTCATTATTTTTATTCATAAAAATTTCTATAGATTAAAAATAAAAAGTTGCTTTACGAAATAATACTGAACACGTGTTATCAAATTAATGACTGAATTAATTTTGAATAAATAATCTTTTTGTATCTTTTTATTATTTTTG